TGACAACGCAAAACTTACTCAACTCTCTAGCACTATGATTTACTAAACAACACGAGACTCACTTCTGCTTTGTTAAAGCATTTCTCATATGATGTAATCGGTACAGCAGCTACTACTATCATTCAAGAGCGAATACCCCATACACAACGAGGATTACACTCACCTGGCGAATGAAGGCAGCGACACAGAAAGTTGTATTGCGATTATGAGTACCGGATAATCTGTATATGATAGCACCACTCTAGCTCATTCATCAATTATCAACTGTAGTAATGGTAGTGCTAGAAACACCCATCCAAGGTGGTGATAGAAAAAGGAGCTTGAAGTGTACACTAGAACTCGCCTGATCACGAGGAACATGCGAGATTCACAACCCTCCCACCAGTAAAGAGAGAGCGCCTCTATAAGAGGAATTACTGGGCACCACCCTCAGCAGCACCATCTTGATCGGATGTCCAAAGAGTCAGATTGTCTCTGAGCAGCTGCATGATGAGGGTAGAATCCTTGTAGCTATCCTCACTAACATTATCGAGCTCAGCGATGGCGTCCTCGAATGCCTTGCGAGCCATCTTGCAAGCCTCTTCGGGCTGGTTTAAGACCTCATAGTAAAATACAGAGTAGTTGAGAGCAAGGCCCAGACGGATAGGGTGGGTAACTTGCAACTCAGACTGAGCGATGTTGGTCGCATCCTTGTAAGCCTGGTCGGCGTTATTGGCGGCCTTATCTCTCTTCTCACCAGTGCTGAATTCAGCGATGTAGCGATAGTAATCACCCTTCATCTTGTAGTAGAAGACCTTGGACTCGCCGGTCTGGGAATGAGGAATGAGAGACTTGTCAAGAAGATCAAGAATAGCATCGCAGATTGTCTGGAGCTCAGCCTCAATCTTCTCTCTGTAGCCCTTAGCGATCTCAGCATTGGTCGTGTTACCCTTAGAGGTCTCCTTCTGCTCGACAGATGAGACAATCCTCCAGGAGGCACGTCGAGAGCCAACAGCATTCTTGTAGGCAACCGA